TCTGTATATATTTTTAGCTGTCCAATTAATTTCTTTCTATTTTTGGTAGAGACAGGGTCTCACTCTTGCTCAGGCTGGTCTCGAACTCCTGAGCTCAGAACGATCCGCCCGCCTCGGCCTCCCAGAGTGCTAGGATTACAGGCGTGAGCCACCGCGCCCGGCCCACATTGATATCTTAACTATGAATTTTTGTTTTGTGACTACTATAAAACTTTAACACATTCTGATTCAGTGGCAAGCACCCATGTTGGTTAGATTGAATTTCCATTTATAACTCTTTTTAAAACTGAACTAGATAAATTTTTCTTCTTTTCAGGCTACCTCTGTCACGAGTGAATTGTTCTCAGTTTCTCGGTCTGTGTGCTCTTCCAGGTAGGTAACACTACAATTGGCTTCCTATCAATATATTTAGACCAGTTTTCTCGTCAGCTAACACATCATTCTCTGCACTGGGCAATAAGAGAATTGCATAGACCATCAGCACTGCAGAACTCACTTTTGGAAGCCCTTATGGTGAGCTAGAGATAAAGGAACATAGATTTACTCTTCATCCCTTCCCAGATCTGCATTCACAGCTCTACGGTTCTGATTTACCTATCTTAATAAAACAGTGGGGTACAAGTGAAGCTGAGGACTACTTACTAACCAGGAAGCCAGGTACATGTTACAGAAAGGACATAAATAAAGAATCCTTGATTAGGGTGAATCCCTGTAATTATATTCCTAAAAACATGAGAAATTGAAATTCACATTCAGAATGGAATTGAAACATATAAATGATCATGTGGAATGACTTTCTAAAATAGCTATATAAGTGTTTAAATATACTTATTATATATGACCAAAACTGACTTTTTTACTTGCCTTATTACTACTTATAGGTTGTAAATTTAAAGATATTAGAAGAAATATCCAAAAAGATACAGGTAGGTATAATATGACACAACCATACTAATAGGCTTTAAAAAAAATAATGCTGAAAATCTCTTTGTCAAAAGGACTGTAGTCTTTTCTCAATATACCAATAAATGTTCAATATTTTGTGAAGTTTCCAACTATAGATTTATTCTAATGTGTGAAAAGGTATTTGTGAAGGGCACCAAGGACTCATCATTTACCTAAACGTGGTGTTGCTTTTCACTGATTGTTGTAGTTATATTAAACTGCATTTGAAGTTAGAGTGAGAAATGTAAGTATGTAAATAGAAAGTATGTAAATAGAAAACTGACATATTGCACTGCCCAGATCTTTGAACATACCATTCTTTACAGCCTTGACTGTGGTAGTAGAAATTAAGCCTGAGCTGGGAACCCCAAGGAAGCAGTGAAATTTCCATCCTGGATAGAAAGTGTAGAGAGCCAGCATGTAGGTGGGAAAGACAGAGTGGGAACTGATCATCGCGTGCCCAAGGATGTTCATACCATTATAGCCTCAAGTCTAGTAATCCTGAGAATTAACCCCAATTTGGAATTTATATATTACATGATACTAACAAATGTGGATTTTCAAAATATTTTATTCTGGTTGGCCTGGAATAGCTCAGGCCTCCTAGTCCTACCAATATCCTTATAATACACAAACTAAAAATGTCTACGTTGCTTGGTCTGACCAGTACAGATTTTTTAAATCTTAAAGTCTTTTCCTGGTTATTCTAGAATGTCAGTTTGCTAATGTATCTTTTAGAATTTATTCCTCACCTACCAAAAATGACTTAAAGAGGCTAATAGACGAGTTGACCCTTGGAGATTTATGAAGATTTTCTGCTTTAGACACACCCACCATGGTAGGAAATTCCCATTTGGACAACATTTAAACCATAAGTAAATTATATGCAATTTAAATCACTGGTTCAAGATCAATCTTGTACATTTTGGAATGCTATATTTATTTAGTATCTTCTATTAAAGGGGTTTCTAATTTTTCTCAAAAACTTTTTTTTTCTGCAATGAAATATTAAATAGAATCCAATATATAAAACAGACCAAAATGTTTGATGGAGGAAGACGTAGAATCTCCCTGCTGCAGTTCCTGTGGTACCTCCTCAGTCCTTTCTAGGAAAGTTTAGAAACCACTGTATAATAAAAATTATCAAATGTGTACAAGAGGCAAATAGAAAATTACCTACTGTCTTAAAATTGGTTAGGTATGTTAACTACAGGTTAAATTCTTTTACAAGTACAAAATGATAATAGTTTGATCTAGAGCAGTACTGTGCAACAGAAACATAATGAGAGCCACAAATGGAAGCCACATATGTAACCATTTTCTATCTACCACATTAAAGTAAAAACAGGTGAAATTAATTTTAATAATATATTTTATTTAACCTAAGATATCCTAAATATTATCATTTCAATAAGTTTTAAGTATAAAACTAATTGCTTAGTCTTTGAGATCACGTATGTGTTTTACACTTACAGTACATCTCAAATTTGGACTAGCTTCATGAGACTAGCACTTTGTACTTAAATAGCTAAATGTCCTTGGACTTAGGGGCAGGGAGAGGGCAGGGGTGGGGGGCAGCTGAGATCAGCCAGAATTATTTATTTTGAACCAAATGCTCAATAGTGAATATTGCCATAAAGATGTTCTAGTATACTGAATGCCTATAGTAATATTTATTGGTTCATATCATTATGGTGAAAATAGCTAAGTTATGTACGTTTAATACAGTTAGTGCTTTATTTTCTAGAGATCTAGTCCATAAAATTAAATACACAATGGTGTGGCACAGTGCAAATATAAGGGAGAATACAAGAGCTCTGGCCCCAGGGCCATGCTGGAGATTTTATGTATTAATACAATACTTAGGGTAAAACAACAGCAAAGTGATGAAGTAGCAAATGAGGTTGATTTTGTGAGAAAAAGAAAAAAAAAATGTGCTATTGTTCCTTCCCAAGGGTTTATTTTTAAATATTTAGTGTACTTAAATTTATTTTAAAGCAATATTTATCGCAAAAAAATTTTTGCGGCCAGGCGCTGTGGCTCATGCGTAATCCTACTGCTGTGAAAGGCGGAGGCAGGAGAATCACTTGAGGTCAGGTGTTCAAGGATGCAGTAAGCTATGATGACGCCACTGCACTCCAGCCTGGACGATAGAGCAAGATTCTGTCTCACATTTTTTTTTTGCAAGAACAGCAATTGCCTCATCTTGAAATTCATTCCTTAAGAATCACTTTGATTTATAAAGTCAGGTTTAATTCTAATCATTTTTTGATTCAGATGTTATCAATAGGCACATCAAATTTAAAGATTATCATTTGCTATTAGTTTGGCTTAAGAAACTTAACTCCATATTCGCCCTCTTGACTGTATTTAAATTTGTAATGTTTTCTCTGTGTGTGTCTGTGTGTATCTTGGTCTATTGGCAGAAGAACTAAAGAGCTATGGTATACAAGACATATTTGTTTTCTGCACCAGAGGGGAACTGTCAAAATATAGAGTCCCAAACCTTTTGGACTTCTACCAGCAGTATGGAATTACCACTCATCATCACCCAATCCCAGATGGAGGGACTCCTGACATAGCCAGCTGCTGTGAAATAGTGGAGGAACTCGCAATCTGCCTTAAAAATAACCGAAAAACCTTAATACAGTACGTTCTCCTTTTCTCCATACGCTAGATGAGAAGTGTCCCAGTCAAAATGATTTCTCGAATTATTGCAACCCTATTCAGTTATTACCTACCTCATAGTTTGTCGCAAGGATTAAAAGGAGATAATGCATGAAAAGTACTACTCAATGTCTGGTACAGAGTAAGCCCCCAGATATTTTCTGTTATTACTTTTCAAGAGTAAGGACAATAAATGAGTAGATCTGGAAATTTTCAGAACAAGGTTACCAGGCTTTTTTTTCCTTAAAACTTTAGTTGCAATTTGGGGATCCTCCCCACCACCACCATGAAAAAAAGACGGGGCATCATTCTTATTCTACCATAACACCACATTCATTGGTCAGCCTGTCAAATTGCTTACTTGCTTTGAAAAGCAAGCTGATTTTGAAAAAATTAGCAAAAAATTCATGTGTAAGCAATGAGCAATTTTTAAAATATGACTTGAAAATGACATTTGATGATATGAATTTGCTACCAGAATGAAAGACGGACTCACTGTTTGTCAAGGACTGTAAAAATATAAGCTGCTGGTAGGAAAGTTTAAAACAAGACAAAATGGGTTAAGGAAAGGGGGAAAATGAGGCAAGAAGAAAAAAGTAGCTTGGAGAAAGGAAGATGAGAGTGGCGATGGGCAGTAGATGGTAGCATGGCAAAGATTAGAAGTGGTGCCATGGATAAGAAGCAGTAGATGCTCAAAAGAGAGTCAGCCACAGTGAGAAAACTAGTCCTTCACAGTGCTTACTGTGTATTTTATATCCTAATAAGCCACTTAATCCTCTCTAGAACAAGGTAAGGTATTAAATAGTTTGATACCTTGAAAGCCTTAAGGTCATTGCTTTGAGCTAGAAGTATATAAACCATACCAAATAGCAGTGTGGTCTCAGGGCACTGAGGGAAAGGGCAAGCCCAGCTTGTCTCCTTAAACCTGTAGCCCAGGGGCCTGATGCCAACAATGCCAGTTCTGAAGGCAAACCAACCAGTACAAGAGTCTTTGGGGACACACCTGTTTGTGGCCAAACTAAACTGATATACAGAGAACTATAGCTTGCAGAATATGCAGTAGAGAACTAGAAGCCATCCTACATCCTATAGTTTCCAAATTTTTTCTAGTGAAAAGCATAATCTCTCATCAAGTACTGATTATAAAACAAAATTTCAGAATAGATATAGTTGTCTATGCTAAATTTTCTGGTAAGTGTAGGTAAAATACTATTGGATGGATATGGCTAAGGAAAGTATCTTCCAATTTGAGGACCCATTTTTCAAACCAATTCTGAGATTTTTTTTTCAGTAAATTTTTGAAAGCAGCTTCTACTGAAAATTTTCCAGAGATCAAACTAGCTCAGTTTGGTGAAGTGAAGCTTAACACACTCTACTCCAGCAGCTTCTGGCAAACCAAGTGCTCTGCTGTTGGCACAGAGTACAAACAGGATGTACAGATAGATGGGTGTCCTTGCATATGTTCAGGCTCCCATAAAATAAAGCATCAGATAACTGGAAGTTTTCATTGTCCTAGAGCTTTCAAAGGTGTCCTACAGTGACTAGTTTGTTGGGTAAAGACAATTCTCTATCCATTCTGCCATCTTTGAGAGCCCACGTTGCTAGACAGCTGTAGAGCTCATTCCTCAGAAACGGGGGCTGGTACATTTTTTCACTGCCCTGTTGTCTACCAATGCTATCTCACTGGTTCTACCTGGGCATTTTCAGCCCTTTATAAAATCAGTGAACACTGCTTGCTCAGTGTATTATACAGTTTCCTTGGGCTATTATAACAAAGCACCACAAACTGGGTAGCTTAAAACAATAGAAATGTATTCTCTCCCTAGTTTGGGAAGCTGAAAGTCCAAAATCAGGGTGTCAGCAGGGCCACGTTCCCTCTGAGGCTCTGAGTACAGTCCTTCCTAGCTTCTCGTGGTGGCCGTCCATCCTTGGCATTCCTTGGCTTGTAGCTGCATCACTCCAACCTCTGCCTCTGTCATCATATGATTCTCTGTGTGTCTGTGTCTTCATCTGGCGTTTTCCTCTTGTGAGAACACTAATCATGTAGGACTAGGGCCTCCCCTAATTCATCTTAACTTGAATATATCTGCAAAGACCCTATTTCCAAATAAGGTTACATTCATAATACTGGGGATAAGGACTTCAGCATATCTTCTGGGGGGACATAATTTAACCTGTAACACCTATCGTGTGCCAAACACCAAGACTACAAAATGAGGCACAGTTCCCACCCTGAAGGAACCCGCAGCTAACAACACTACCATGTAAAGTGCAGTAAGATTGGCACAAGGTGTGTACACAGAAGAGGCAGCACACAAGAGAGTGGTCATTTCTATAGGAGCACAAAGACATTTCAGGAAATGAAATTTGAGTTTTAAAAGATGAGTAGGAATTCATCAAATACAAGAGAAAAAATGAAAGCAGCAAGAGGTATAAAGTAGTATTAATCTTGCAGAAAGCCACTGAAGTGTTCTCTCTCTACCTCACATGGTAGATCCAGATCTCTCTAAAACAGGACTACATCTGGGATACTCTGTAGAAAGCAAGTTCATGAGTAACTCTAGAGGTCAGTACCCATTTTGTCCTCTGTCTTCCATCCTATAGCAAGATACGTATCTACAGCTTTATCTACAATATGCTACAGTAATAGATGTTCATGATGATAAGTCATCTGCACTAAATTAGGTTCAGTATACCCTCTAAGTAAGTTAGGAAGCATGTAATACGTTTTTTAGGATCTTTGAAAATGCTTAAAATGAATGATTTGCTGTTGAGAGTTAATCTTCTTTTTTCTGTAAAATCCAGTTGTCCAAAACTGCTAATTTCTTCACAATGCTAGATAATAGCAGCTAACATTCATTTACTCTGTGCCAAGCTCTGTTCCAAGCCCTTTACAAATGCTCAGTCATTTGTAAGTGAACCTCATTTCATCCTCACTACGATGTAGGTGCTATTGTTATCACCATTTTATAGGTGAAAGGCTGAGCCCCAAAGAGATTAACTTGCTTAGCTTTATGTATCTAGTAAGTGACAGATCTAGGACCCAAAGTCAGGTGGTGGGACTCCAGAGCCCATGTTTTAGATCTCTATGATATGCTACTTCAATTAGATAAATGAAGGGTTATTATATAAATAGCATTTGCCCCATAATCACTCAGGTTTTCTTTGGACAGAGGAAAATAATCAAAGTGGCATCTGGTAAAAATAGTCTGATTTCTACTTAGCAACATGCTCCATTCCGTACATGTGGATCTTGGGGTCTAAAGAGGTCAATGAAAAGACCCTGCCTACCTTGACCCTTAGAGGTGACCCTCCCAACAAAGAAATAAACACACTTTGCTCTTAATTAATTCAAAAATATTTATTAATCTTTGTGTGTGAGGCACTATGCTAGGCATTAGAGTTATAAATAAAATGCAGAAAGAGCAAGTCTTTAGCTGTAACTAGGGATGAAGTGAAAATGGACAAACTTCAAAACTGTATTTCCCTTTCAGCTGTTATGGAGGCCTTGGCAGATCTTGTCTTGGTAAGAAATATATTTTCATTATTAATTTAACCTCAAAGTAGGCAAAGTCCTGTTTCTGGGCCATATGCTCACTTTGCATTAAAATGAAACAAAACACATATAAGTTTGCTAAGATTCAAAGGATTATTTAAGGCCCTAAACTTGGTATTCCCTAAAAAGCTTGTGTGGGAGGGAGAGGAATTTTCAGCATTGCTTTGGAGGATTCTGTAAAACATCACTTACAAGTCTTAGCCCCTGCATCTTTTTTTTTTTAATGTTTTCTAATGTTCTCCCTATATAGGTGTTATGATACTGATAGTAACTTCTAAATATTAATAATATCCATGGGTAACATAAGTATGAAAACCAAAGTTAATTACTATATGTTAATTTTTAAATGTGCTGGGAAAAACCAAAACAGTTCATGAAATGCCACGCTGGAGTAACAGTTATTCCTTTTAGTGTTGGACAGCATCAAAATTAAAAATTTTGTTTGCCAGAGGACACTATCAAAATGAAAAGACGACCCATTGAATGGGAAAAAATATTTGCAAGCCATATATTTGATAAGAGATTTGTATCCAGAATATATAAAGAACTCTTACAACTCAGGAATAAAAAGACACACAACCCAATTTAAAAATGGGCAAAGGGCCCAAATAAACGTTTCTCCAAACGAAATATACAAATGGCCAATAAGCACATGAAAAGATGCCCAACATCATTAGTCATCAGGAAATACAAATCCAAACCACAATACATACCACTTGATACCCATTAGGATGGCTATTATTAAAAAAAAATGAAAAATAAGTATTGGCAAGGACGTGGAGAAACTAGAACCCACATACACTGCTGGTGGGGATGTAAAATGGTGCAGCTGCTTTGGAAAACAGTCTGGCAATAATTCCTCAGTTAAACATAATTACCATGTGACCCAGCAATTTCACTCCAAGGTATATATCCCCCCAAAATGAAAACATATTCACACAAAAACTTGTTCCCAAATGTTTATGACAGCATTAATCATAATAGCCAAAAAATAGAAACAGCCTAAATATCCATCAACTGATGAATGGATAAGCACAATGTGGTGTAGCCATACAATGGAATATTAATCATAAAAAGGAATGAAGTATGGATACATGCTACAATACATATGAACCCTGAACACAGCATGCTAAGTGAAAGAAGTCAGTCACAAAAGACCACATAATGTATGATTCCGTCTACATGAAATGTCCAGAATAGGCAGATTTACAGAGGTACGAAGATTAGTGTTTGCTAGGGCAGGGTTGATGTGGTAATAGGGGAATGACAACAAAAGGGTACAGTGCTTATTTTTAAGGTGATGAAAATGTTCTAAAATTGGTGATGGTTGCACAAATCTTTATACTAAAGATCACTGAATTGTACACATTAAATGGACAAATTGTATGGCATGTGAATTATATCTCAAAGCAGTGTAAAAATAAAGAATGCCAGTGTTAAACTTTAATTCAACCACACCGTCATTTCGATCCTAATTTAACTGTCAAAAGTACATTAAAAGTCTCAGTTTTTAATTCATTCAGAACAATTACACCAAACTGAGTCTTCTGTATCAATAGAAGTCTAATTAAATATAAAATGTTCTACCCTCTTAATTATTTAGTAATATATTATTTTTCTGTCATGTTCCATTAGTAGCTGCTTGTCTCCTTCTATACCTGTCTGACATGGTATCCCCACAGCAAGCCATAGACAGCCTGCGAGACCTGAGAGGGTCTGGGGCCATACAGACTATCAAGGTAAGGAGGTCGTGCTTGCTGGTGTGGTTAGGGGCAGACTGTTAACAACTACAGTGTAATACACAACCACAAGGACGGTAAAATGAAATTCCAAAGCACTCTGTTATTCAAATGTCACTTATGCTTTTAATTTTTTAAATTTATGTTTAAATATAACCCAGATATCTGCAAAAGCACACAAGTATTTCAAACAAAATAATGAAAAAATTTGAACTTTCCAGTTTACTCTTCAGTTTTTGCCCCATTCAGTTTGGGGAATGGATTCTCTTGCTGGAAACAATGAGATGGTTACAATAAACTTGGTAGTTTCTTAGGTAAATTCTTAACCAAAAACATACAAGGAAGATCCTATTGTATCACCAAAACATTTAATAAAGATAGACAAATGACTGTAATACAAAAAATGTAAAGCAGTGCTAATTATCCTCTGCTGTGGGTAACTAAAGCGACATCTTCCACATTTACGTTCCCCTAACACTTCGAAATCACTGCAGTAGCAATGCCAAGGATATTATTATGTATTAATCATCTTACTGAAAAGATTCAGCAGATTTTACTTTGTCTGTAGATCTATGAAGCTAATTTGCCTTCCTTTCCCACACACCCTGTCTCAGCATTAGTACCTATTCATCGGAAGTGGATAATAAAGAATCCTGGCCATTAGGCAGCTCCTTGGGCTTGAGTTCATCTTCCCAGGGTTAAAGGTCTAATCCAGTGTCACATACAGCAAATTATTATAATTAATGATAAATTCACCAAGCAACCTGATTCTTAGGGCTTAAATAAGGTCAGTCACAAGATAATCCATACAGGATTTACTTCCCTGTACAGATTCTGAAAACAAAGAACTCCCCTTATTTTAAAATCAAATGCTGCTGCAAATCCAAAAAGTTTGAGTCTCTCTTCTCTTTGAAACAAAATGCATGGTCAAATACATGTATGAATATGCATATGCTTTACATTTTTAATACTGGAGAGAATTAAGCCTGCATTAGTATGGACTGTCAATTTTTGCTACAATTCTGTAGCAAACAGGCTTTATCTCTATGTTAGTGTAAGTTAGTGTAGTTTCAACTTCTCAATACGGATATGAAATGAGATGATTAGCACCGTAACAATATCCTCTGTAAAGCTATTAAAACTCCAAATAAATTATTTAAGGCTTTCATTTTGCTTATCTGTTAAGGTTAGTGGGGTTTTAAAAAAATACTGTCTATGAAAATTGTTCCAAATGGATTGTCATCACAAAAAACAGATGACTTGAGCTTCTATAAATTAAGAAATGGATTTTCCTGAATATACCACTGTTAATTGCTACAGGAAGTGCCCTCTCCTTCTTATTCACTCCCTAGGTTAAAAAAGAAAAAAAATAGCAAAAATAATGCCATTATGAAGTGTTTTTAATGTTATTTGGTCCTACAAATAAAGAGATAAAGGATTTTACAGCCTTACAAAATATTCATTTGTATTTCATGCTACCTTCTGCTTTTTAGAGATTTTTAAAGTAGTAGCTTTTCACACCATATGCAGCTTTATTGAAAGATAAAACTTGCCCATGGCAGAAATGCTTCCTTCCCCAAAAAGATGTAAAATTGTTCTTAGCAAATACGTCTTTGATTCCTACTAATCTTGGTGTCTACTCTGGTAACGGTTTTCTACAATGTATTTCAACATATCTTTACTTTTTTCAGCAATACAATTACCTTCATGAGTTTCGGGACAAACTAGCTGCACATCTGTTATCAAGAGATTCACTATCAAGATCTGTATCAAGATAGAGAAGTTCAAACAGCATATATATGACCATGTCTGAAATTTAAGAGTTCTCTAGCATAATTTGTATTGAAATGAAATTACTAATGTTATCAACTTGAGTGCAAATGTATATGTGCAGATATTCCTAAAGCTTTTATTAACAAAATTCACTGTGTCTCTTTCATCTCTTATAGCAGAGGGAAAATTAGTATACAATTTTCCTTTTAGAAATGCACTGGCTGCTTTGGTATATTTTACCTGGAGGTAATGCTAAAAAAACCATATGGAAAAATATTTGCATTATTAACATATTTACCACACTTTTACTTCATTTCACTATTTTTAACTACTATGTGGCATTTGACATAAGTAGAAAATTGGTATGAGTACCCAAGCTTACTTTTAACTTTCACCCTCTATTCCTCCTGGAATTTCTTTTTTTTTTTTTTGAGACAGAGTCTCATTCTGTGGCCCCAGCTAGAGTGCAGTGGCATCATCATAGCTCACTGCAACCTCAAACTCCTGGGCTGAAGCCATCCTCCTGCCTCAGCCTCCCCAGTAGCTGGGACTACAGGTGTGCACCACCACACCCAGCTAATTTTTCTTTTTTTTTTTTATGTAGAGATGGGGTCTCACTCTTGCTCAGGCTGGTCTCCAACTCCTGACCTCAAGCGAGCCTCCTGCCTTGGTCTCTCAGAGTGCTAGGATTACAGGCATGAGCTACTGCACCAGCCCTCTTACACTGTTTTTCACTGCATAGACCTACAGTATTGTAAATGATCCCGAGCCTTCTGGTCACCTCCCTCCCAGTACTGGATCAGCACCCCATGTCTTTATTCAGCATATGCTGAAACATTTTCAGAGATGAAGAATTCATTTGTTCAGACACCTGCTCCACTTTTTTCTACCTTAGGAACTACAAAGAATGAATTTAATCCCTCTTTCACATTTATAGAGTATTTAGCTACAGATTAACAATCTCTTAATTTTCATACTCCTTCACCTCACCCTATACTACTGAACCTATCTTTTTGTTTAAATTCAACTTTCAGCTACCCAAAGCAGCCATTTGGGCTGGAGACAAGGATGACACAATGAGTCAAAGCCATCTGTTTTAACAGACATCAGTGGTTTCAGTACAGCACACAGTAGTCACGTGACTCACAAATTTGAACCAATGGTCATTTGGCTATTACCACCAGGTTGCAGACTCATAGGCACTTCCACAAAAGACAAAAGTTTCACCACATCAAAATTTAGTTTTTAAATAATCATACAATGACCAAAAGCCTTATTTTGTCTCATATATTTCTTGCTGACGATGAACTACTTTCATTAGGGAATACTCCAAAACAATTACTAGTGCTGTTTGGGAACTTCAGACCAGAGCACCAGTATGTACTCTGATATAAAAATCAATATTTTGATACAGTTGTCCCTTGGAATCCTCACAGGATTAGTTCCAGGCCCCCCGTCCCCGGTGGATACCAAAATCCATGGATGTTCAGGTCCTTTATATAAAATGGCATATTTATATATAACCTATGCATATCATCCCATATAATTTAAATAATCTCTAGATCACTTATATTACCTAATGCAATGTAAAGGCTTTGTAAACAGTTGTTATACTGTATCGTTTTCATTTGTATTTTGGGTTTTTTCCCAAATATTTTCAATCCAAGTTCAGTTGAATCCATGGATGAGGAACCTATGGATAAGGAAAGCTGACTACTTTTATATATATACTGCTTCTAGAACTTAAGATTCTATGAAGATACTGAGGAAAAGAGGAGCATCACATATCCCACCAGTATCTAAATGTTTAACCTAGGGATTTCTTTTCTCATATAATAAATGCCAAACGTTATAGCAAGAAAGTTATTTTTTTAAAGCACACACTGCAATAACTGGCCTTCTCTGTGATTTTGGTATTACAACCAAATATAATTTAAAATCACAATTTATATTAAACTTCAGACAGTCATCAAAATTGACATTAGCAAACCTTATACAGATGGTCCCCAACTTACAATGAATCAACTTAGAATTTTTTTACTTTATGACGGTGTGAATGTGATGAGCATTCAGTAGAAACTATAGTTCAAGTACCTATACAAACATTTTTTCCCACTTTCAGTATAGTATTCAATAAATTTCACGAGATATTCAACACCTTATTATAAAATAAGCTTTGTATTAAATGATTTCACCCAACTGCAGCCTCATGTAAGTGTTCTTAGCACATTTAAATTAGGCTGATAGGCTAAGCTATATTTGGTAGGTTAAGTATTAAATGCATTTTCAACTTATGATAGGTTTATAACCCAACATAATCCATAATCCCAATATCTGTATTAACCTTCACCCAATATATAGCTTATTCATGAATACTTAGGAAAATGGAGAAAAAACATTGGCATAGATTAATCAAATCCTTTAACAGTCAATTGAATTTTCAAAGTGCATGCATATCTCAATTTCTGTAAGTGCCAATTAAGCCTTCTACACTTAAAATGCTTGACTACTTTCATACTAAGTATGAGGAAAAATATCAATTACTCCGTAACAGAGAAATGTGAGATGTAACTACTGAAATATTAATATAATTATTGAGTTAAATAACATAATTCCAACATTCCAGGAAAAGTATTTTCCCGGCCTAACCTGTGTGATATCCCCCAACACAATGCAGGGGAGGGAGCAGAGAGACAATCAAGTCCTGATCAGAGACAAGCCAGAGTTAGCAACATTTGAAATTGACACACAGACTTAACCATTATCCATAAACTACACAAGGAAACATTTGAGACAGTTTTTATTAAATATATAAAAGCAAAATAAGCAAGCTCTAAGAAGTAAGATAGGGCTACCTAAGGGCATTTTCTTTGGACAGTAGTACAGCACCATTAAGGTTAACTTAGATTTTAATAAACCATGAGCATAGATAGCTAACTACATTTTATGTTTCTCTTAGTAGTTTTAGGTTCTGCCTCGTCATCAGTCTATTTAAGAAATCTTTCTTCTCCAGAGTACATGAACATGGCAACCAAAGAGATTTAAATATTTAGAAAAAGCATTGTACAATTAACATAAGAGATGCATTTCACTCTTGCATGTCCAGATGTCCTCTACATCTTCTACAATGTGCGTTAATAAAATTAATGCAGGACAAAACTTTCTTCACTCCAATCTCACAGATCAATCACCATATATGGTTAATACTATTTTCCAACACCAGCAGAACAAGCAGCAGTTATTTACTCCTTTTAGACATTTAACTTTAGAACTCTGAATTTCAGAGTAAAACTGCTATAAGAAAGCTAGTCAATATATCCAGAAATAGAACCACATTTTTTTCTCTTGGCATTACTCTGGAGTATTAGTTCAGAACCATCTTCTAAACTATACTATTAGTACCAAAGACTTATAAGCTGCTGGTCTGACTGCAGATCAATGATTGGTTTGAGCAAGAGAACTTAGAATTATTTAAGACTAACATAATTAATATTTCCAAAAAGGATGAACATGAGTGCTTTTATGAACAATGCTAGATAAAGTATCGATATTTTCCCCTCTCAGGAGTGTTGTTTTAGGATATTTTTGCCATCAAAATTTCTGATTTATAATTATACTAGGAAACTGATTACTGAGATATGTACATTTGTGGATGTTAAATGATATAAATAAGTAAACTCTATACTTTTTAATACAGATCATTATTTGAATAGGCTTGATATATCACACTGCTATGATACAGACACACCTAAAATGAAAGCTCACCCCTGCAGGGTACAAGAGACACAGAGAAGTCATTATTTGTACCATGGCAATAATATTCCATGAACGCATTTCATGAACAGATAATTGGAGGAAAAGAGAAATGTCATACAAAGGAAAATATTTTGCCAGTTTCAAAGCACATATAGTTCTATTTCCTTTCTATGCAAATATTTGACATACCTTCAAAATATGTTGATTTGGGGAGCGGAGAAGAGCTCTATGGAAAGCTATTAGCATGAAAACACAGAACAGGCTTTAAAGGAGACACATGCTACAAACTACCATGTACTTTGTTGCCTTGTCAAACACCATTATCCCCATATGTGAACCTGACTGGTAGGTCTGACAGTTCATAGGAGAATTGGTAAGGCTTCAAAACTGACTAATACTTGGTAACGTATACATGTCAAAAGTGGATTTGCCTGGTCATTTCCTATCACTTCCCCTTCCCATGAAAAATGGTTCAAATTTCAAACAAATTAGCAGTTTGAATATAGCCTGGGACCAAACTCTCCTCTACCCTGGAATAGGGAGTGGGGAATACCAGTTAAACATTGTAAAAACCATCAAATGTCATTAATAACATTTAGATATGGGTATTCAAATAGTTTCTACCCCTATACCTCTTTAGTAGTAAAGGGACATACTGCCATGATATTACTACGCAGTGGAATAACTGCTAAACAGGCTACATTTATTATTAAATGTAAGATTTTTAATTAGGGAGAATCTGTAGTATCCATAGCAACAAAGTTGTTGGTATAGATATAACCACGGTGACACTAGATGCAATAAAATAGGCACAAATGGAGAAAATGGTTTCTGAGAGCTAGAAAGCTCTTAAAGATAAACTGAAGAACATAATATCAACAGTAACTGTAACAAGGAAAAAAAAACCAGTACCTAAAGAAACAGCTGATACTGCACATGGAGCACTTAACATAAACTGGAAAGGATATATCAACCCAGGCTAACTGAACCTCAGTTGAACCTGCAGGAATAATGGAAGGCTAGGGCTACCCCAAACAGATTAACATGGGAAACAAATTAAATTCAAAGCAAGGAAAGAGCAAGTGGGATATTGTCAAATGCAACTACTTTATTTCTGCTTTCTCTTGGTGATTTAATTTCATAAAAGACAAACAGTAAACGTGGGTAGATATGAGAGCATCCAAGTACTCAATCTTCTAATCACTTACATGCCCAGGAACTAACAACCTAGCACAGAGATGGGTGAACCTCACTGTCAGTCACCTTTGAGCATCAGCTGAGGGCTACATATCTAATTTCGGAAGCATGAGAAAGTGGCTTCCACAAATTCCAACGAGTAAACTTTTTGCATTAATCCTGGAGAATATTCTGGAATAGATTATTAAAAGGATG